GACATCGTGGACCTCGTCCACGATCTCCGCACTAGGCACAGGAAAGTGGCCGTCTAGGGCAGGAGAGCTGCCAGCCTGGCCACCCAGGAGCAGGTGTGCATGAAAATCAAGGGGGTCCATTGAGACCCCCGACCCTGAGCCCTGAGCTTACAATGGCCATCCTGGGTCAGACCAAAGGTTCATCTATCCCGTAGCCTGTCTGCCGACAGCGGCCAACCCTAGGGACCCCGGAGGGGATGGACTGAAGACAGTGACCAATCCATTTGTCTCGTGCCATCCCTCTCCAGCCTTCCACAAACTTTGGGCAGGGACACCACTCCTACCCCCTGGCTAAGACTACTCCATGGACCCAACCTCCATGACTTGATCTCACTTCCCTTTAAACTCTGTTCTAGTTGTAGCCTTCACAGCCTCCTGCAGCAAGGAGTTCCACAGGTTAACTATTTGCTTTGGGAAGAAGAACAACTTTCTCTTACTAGTTTCAAGCCTGCTACCCATTCCTTTCCTTTGGTGTCCTCTAGTCCTTCTTTATGGGAACTCATGAAGAACTTTTCTGAATGCACCCTCTCCACCCAACCCCTGCTTTTAGAGACCTCTATCCTGTCCCCCCTCCGTCTCCTCTTTTCTAAGCTGAACAGTCCCAGTCTCTGTAGCCTCTCTTCATATGGGACCTGTTCCCAACCCCTGATCATGTTAGTTGCCCTCCCCTCTCCCAGCCTTTCTCTTCCCCTCTCCCACCTCCTTTTCCCAGTCTCCCCCAGTTTTGTTCAATAAAGACAGATTCCATTTTTGAACACAATTGTCCTTTATTTTGTACATCAAGAAAAGGGCTAGGGAAGGGTAAGTTGAAGAAGGTGAGGGAAGAATGGGGCACAAGCCCCCGATGGGGAGGACTGGGCTGGCTCTCCGGGCTTTTGGGGTGGAAGCTCTCCTGCAGCCCCCCGATTGCCCCCTCTCCCCAGATGGCAGCCTGCGGCAAGTGCAGCCGGTCTGATGGCCGAGTGCTGTGATGTGCCCAGTTTGGGTACTCCGGGCACTCCAAGCCAGGACTGCTTTGCAAGCGGGGCACCCCTGAGAACTGTCTGTCCGGGGTAGGGGTCGGGACCCTTTAAGCGCAGCCCTCGGCTAGCCTGAGACAGCATCTCCACGTTCTAAGTCCTCCTCTGATGCCCTGCTGGCACTGCTTCCAGCCATCCTTAAGCTTGGTTCAGGGTCCACTTAATGTGGACATGCTAGTTCGAATTAGCAAAATGCTAATTCGAACTAGTTTTTTAGTTTAGCTCCGTTAGTTCGTATTAGCTTAGTTCGAATTAACTAATTCGAACTAAGTTAGTTCGAATTAACGTTGTAGTGTAGACGTACCCTCAGCTACTTGTGTTTGACAGAAACCTGTGTAATGTCCTTTGTACTTTCGGAACCCAAAGTTGGACCTGAGACTTACTCTTGCCGACTACAACATCCTATTCATTATCAAGTGACTGCTGAGAGAGAGGTAATTGGCCAATCATTACCTAAACAGGCCATCTGGGGCTGTGTCTACACTAGCAGCCGCTTTTCTGGAATAAGCTGCGAGCTGTCTACACTGGCTCCTTGAATTTCCGGAAAAGCACTGACGATCTACTGTAAGAAATCAGCTGCTTTTCCGGAAAAACTTTGCTGCTCCCGCTCAGGCAAAAGTCCTTTTTCCGAAAAACTGTTCCAGAAAAGGGCCAGTGTAGACTGCACAGTAGTCTTTTCTGCAAAAAATCCCCGATCGCAAAAATGGCAATCGGGGCTTTTTTCCGGAAAAGCATCCTGCCAATGTAGACGCTCTTTTTCCGGAAATACTTATAAAGGAAAACTGTTCCGTTTTAAGCATTTCCAGAAAATCATGCCAGTGTAGACACAGCCTACCAGTATGAATTGTCATTTTATGTTCACTTATTAAACCATTGACTAACAATGTCACATGAGACATAATTACATAATCTTTTAACCACAACATAAATTATTTATTTTGAATGATAAATACACCTTGCAAAGAGGTTTATTTCTTTATCATTAAGATTGCACAAGGTTATTTTCTTTCAACATACACAGTAGAAAGTGAAGAAATCTCCACATTACAGACTTTAAGACAAACCTAAATGCCGTATAATATCACCCAAACATACTGTAGACTTGTTATT